TTGATATAGCTATTAATAACCACATAACCAAAGGTCAATTTGCCCCATGAAGTTAACCCTTAACATATCACCATACACCAGCCCAGGGCCGGTGCAAGGATTTTTGAAGAAATATTTGCCACCCCCCCATGTGACATCACAATGCCCCACCCATATGATCTGCCATATGAACCAACACCAGTGCTGCACACAGTGTGTGTTTACATTAAAAAGCCTACAGGGACAGGCTATAGACACCAGGACCACTACATTAAGCTGCAGTGGTTCTGGGGATTATAGTGTCCCTTTAATGTGAGGTAAATTAGAGATTAGTGCCACAAATAATATACTAGATTGCCTACTTACAACCAGATGAGGATGATGATGGGCTCTGGTAGCAGTCTGGCTCAACTGGTCTGGTGTAGAACAGGCTTTCTGGAGGCTGTTTGTAACCGTTGTAACCGTGGTCACAAAAATCAATGTACTGGGGGAACGGGAAGCAGCTCCATTTTTTGTTGCCCCTTACACAGCTCAAGGTCTGGGTCCCAGGGTCTGACGGTGAGTATGCCCATAAGGCCCACCCATAAGTCCACCTACATGTTCCACCCATAAATATAAACATGCTGCCCAAGTGAGCAACTTAAACTAGCTTTTGGTAAATTCCCCTGGGCATAATTACAGATGAGGAGAACAAAGGTAGCCTGCGTCCCTACCCACATTATGTTGCATAGCGTGATCCCCAGGCTCAACCTATACCCTTTGTGCTATGTAAGTGTGTGCACGGGAGTCCTACACATAAACAAAAGGAAGGTTAAACAAGTTGGACACTATCCCTGCAGATTAAACGTTAGGTTCTAAACTGTGGTGGGTACTGGCTTTGTTCATATATTAAGGTAAACGTGGATTGCTAGATTTGGCTATGCAATATAGATGAAAATTTATTGTAGGTCATGAGCCTTGTACCACAGCACACACTGCAGGGAGGAGGGATGGTAATAGTAAAATTACATGCTATCTCAACGATTTAATTCCACCGGGTAGTGAAAGTGGAGTGCCGTGACGGCACAAGCTTCGCACAAGTGTAACTGTAATAAAGCTCATACAGTCTAGTCAAATAGAAATAATATCTAATGATAAATGATAGTAGAGCAGAGAGGCACAATAACTTATAGAAACATCAAACTGATTATAACCTGTACAGTTGGATTATTCAGTATATCTGCATTTGGGTATTCAGGAGCATAGCTAATCCCTGGTTCAGTCCACATTGATCAGCCGATGCCTGCTCTTGAGGCTTGACAGGTGAGCCAGGAATAAGGGCAGGGATGATGTCTCAGCAGGGTTCTGTCTCCGATGGGTCACAGAGGGGCTCTCCGCCAGTTTTGTTCACTGATAGAAATCTGTGCTGCATCTCCACGATTCCTGCCATCAGGTGTAGGTCCTGTAGACACTCTTGTAGCCCGCTGGTGGCCCTGTTGCGTGGGAACCTTCTGGGAGCTTGGGGTGCGCTTGCCGATATGTCTCCCTCTGGGGCGTCAAGTGCGGGCATGACGGTGGGATCTGCCAGTTGGTTTTCCACACAGCTGTGTCGGTCTCCGCTGCTCAGGCATACAGCGTGCTTGTGTTCGTGAAAGTCTGTGAGATCAGGTCAAGGAGTACACCAGGGGGAACCGGGATAACCCCCACTGATCCAGGGGGGGGGGGGGAATAGGGTCCAAATGAGACCGGAACCAGACCGTAGGAGAGGATTGGCCGCCTCCTCCACCCTCAATCCTCCTGCAGGCCCCAAAACAGGCAGGTGCGGTCAGCACCCGTGTGAGCCTCCAGAACAACAGCCAGGTACAAAGCAAAGTATTTCTCCAGTAGTAACAGTCGTGTCAGGCCAGATTTAGAGTAACTTTGCCGGTATATGAGCAGTATTTTGAGCTAAAGCTGAGAAGCTCCAGTCATGTGCGGCCTACTCGGTTGGCTGTTAGGCCCTGCCTCCCAAAACCTGCCACAGTTTTAGGGTAGGACAATGTTATGTCCACTCCCCCTTTTATATTAGTTTATTAACCTCCACCTTTAGCACACCAGCAGGAGCATTATTATTAATTTAATATCCCCAACCTGCTGCCAATGGGTGGGGACTTGTTGGACACTAGGTACTCCCATTTTTCATAATTAGTGGTCTTACCACTAATAAGGAGGGGGGAGCATTAGGATTATTACTGCATGTTTGTTTGTTTGTTTTTTAATAGACCCAACCACTGGTTGGGAGATGGATAGAAGCAGGAAGGTGGACATTGATCTGTCCTCCCCAATTATTTAATTTAAAGCCTCAACTCATGCCCACAGGTGGGGACACGGGGCGGCATTTACCAGGTCCCTACTGTATTTTAATAGAACCTGTCGCTTATTAATTACAGTGAGCAAGCATGCCTGTTCAATGTCTAGTAGACATGACCCGAGCGTAGATGTGGCAGGTGGGGTATAAAAAAGGTAATAAACCTCCCTTATACTAATACACTCTTATCTTTGGACATAACTCTTACCTTTGGAAGTGCGGTAAACAGTTCTCCTGCTTTCAAGATGATGACTAGGGTGATCAGAGAGGATACGGATCCAGCGATCTGCAAATAAAGATCAGAGAGGGATAAGAGACAATAAAAAATGCCAGGGATTTCCAAGCACAATTCTAGAAAAAACACTGTACATGTATTGCTATAAAAGACTAAACATGTTAATTAGTGATGACCCGAAAGGTTCGCCAAACGGTTCGCGAATGGTTCGCCACGAACGGTTCGCCACGAATGGTTCGCCACGGACTCATCATTGAGTAAACTTTGACCCTGTACCACACAGTCAGCAGACACATTCCAGCCAATCAGCAGCAGACCCTCCCTCCCAGACCCTCCCACCTCCTGAACAGCTCACTAAGAATGCAGCTTCAAAATGGATGCTGTCCAGGAGGTGAGAGGGTCTGGGAGGTAGGGTCTGCTGCTGATTGGCTGGAATGTGTCTGCTGACTGTGAGGTACAGGGTCAAAGTTTACTCAATGATGAGTCCGTGGCGAACCGTTCGTGGCGAAGCGTTCGGGACATCACTAATGTTAATATTTCACATGGAATTATTTCTATGGCAAAAGAAATAGGACTCTAATAATTTAATTTCATAAAAATATATTTGTGTTTCTCTCCTATAATGTGACATGTGGTTTTCTTTTTTCATATGTGTAGTTTCTTCCCAATATGCTGCCCGTCTGCTCCATGCTGCACCTATGTGTTCCCTCAGACTAGTTATCTGTCCATTCCTTCCTGCTAGGTTCTTCTTGGGTTTCCTCCAGCTATGTATGTATTGATACTTATGGGTTCCCTCCTACCATATTGACAGTTTGCTCCTCCTGGCAGATTACCTGCATGCTGTCCCCGGCCATAATACCTGTGAGTTCCCTTCTGCCATGTTACCTGTGGATTCCATCCTGCCATAATACCTTTTGGTTCTGTCCTTCAATAATACATTTGTATTCCTTCCTGCATTGTTACCTGTGTGTTGCCTCCTGTGCTCTCCTGTACAAGACTTCTCGACAAGGATGAAGTGACTGCAAAGCAGTGGAAGAAGCTCCCTGTTAGATTACTTAATCCAAGTGCTATCAACTCCTAGAAAGAGATCCAAACAAAGCAGCGTGGTTATAGAACAAAATGTCAGAAATCGGAATACGATACTGGGTAGAGGGACATAATACCAGTTATATTTACAGAAAGAACCCTGGGTTTACAGAGCTGGGTATGTTTCTTCTGGATATGTAATGTTTTTAAGTTTCTTATTGCTAATTTTGGTCCTCAACACGGTCAATAAGCATAATCACACAAGGGACATTGTAAGCACCATATCCAGCACAACTTCTGGACGTGGTTATGGTACAATAAGGCTGCTCAGTTGTTTGAAATCTATTTTAAAGAATGATATTTTTAAGAAGGATTTAAAATCCAGGAGTTAAAACAAACCATGTACTTACTATTTCTATCTACTTTTTTATTTTGTTGTCATGGCGGAGATGACTGGTAGCAAGATTGAAAGTCTGATCCAGTGCATATTTCAGGACACAACATGTGTCCTTGCCTTGGATAGTCCTTCCAGGATC